AGAGGAGGGCAGCAGGACACAGGGGACGCATGTGCACTGGGAAAGACCCTGTGGGGACACAGCGAGAGGCAGCCATTAAGGCCAGGGACAGAAGCCGTAGCAGAAACAATGCCACCAGCCCCTGCGTCACGGCCGGCCTCCAGCCCTGAGGGAGCTGCCCTGGTGTCTTGGCACCTGGACGGTGGCATCTTCTTAGGGAAACCACAGGGAGTTCACTGTGAACTCAAGTCATGGAACCAAGAGAGGAAGCGGAGCTCTGTGTGGAGTCTGTGGGGGCCAGCCTGGGAGAGGAGGGGGAGAAGGGCGAGGTCCCCGGCTGGAGGGGCAGGTAGCACGGGGAGGGACACAGCACAGTGGGGAGGCTCTACAGGCAAAGGCTTTAATTGCAAGGTATGCGAACACAGGAGACCTCAAATCTGCCTTGAGGGATGTTTCTCAAATCTTTGTGCTTACACTCATGTTTGGGTACAGTCGAGTCTAGGGCCGGGGTAGTTGTCAGGAACACGTATATGATATTTTCCTTTGATCACAGGACAGGTGGGCTTGCCTCGGAGCTGCAGAAGCCTGAGATTCTTGGCTGGGAGATGCAAATTCTACCAGGATGGAGGATGCTGAGGAGCAGGCAGGGGGCGAAGGGCGGGGCGGGACCTGGGACAGGTGCAGGGAGGGCAGGACAGGGAGGGCACAGAGCGGCGTCCAACCTCAGCTGGGAAGGCCTTCGATGGTGGGGCCAACAGGAGAGAGCCGAGGGAGGCTCCTCACTTGAGAATCCCCTCCAGGATCTGGTGGTAGTCCCAGGAATTTTGATAGAGATGGTCCCAAGGCTCAAAGTAGTCACTGCCGTTGTGCACAAAGCGTCTCCAACAGTCTAAAAAATCTGAGATAAAGAAGGAAGAAGACATCATCACCCCCATGCTAACCATCCCCGGCACCCCAGACCCTCGCAGAGGGGTGCTGATCCCAGTCCCCTGCACCTCCTGAAGCCTTCAGCCCATTTCTCACCGTGAAAAAACATGACCTTCACACAGGCCCCTTCCTTAGCCAGTGCTCGCAGCCCCGCTCTGTAAGCAGGCAGCTGGTGGTAGTAGAGGCGGGAGACATAGATTGTCAGGGTCACGTTGGGGTGATTGGCCAGGAATGTTGTCAACTCTTCTGCACATTCAATGCAGGGGCTCCAGGACACGTACCAGGTGACCTGGTAGAACTCGTAAGGGGACAGCCAGGTGTCATGGAACCAAGAGAGGAAGCGGAGCTCTGCGTGGAGTCTCTGGGGGCCGACCTGGGAGAAGAGGGGGAGAAGGGCGAGGTCCCCGGCTGGAGGGGCAGGCAGCATGGGGAGGGCATCTCATCCCATTCCTGGTCTCCCCTTTGCTCCATCCCTCCCCGTCCACCTCATGGCGGCCGTCCCTCCCCCCCCCACACACACACACGCACACACGCACTCCCGCATCCGCTCAGCACCCATCCTGGGCAGCAGGCACTCTGAGCCCCTGCTCCCGCTCATCTCGTTCCCCCTGCTGTCCCACAGGTGCCCATGGCCGCAGGTGAAACTGGGCTTGTCTGAATGGAGACAGCAGCCCGTGTGAGACACGTGGCTCACCGCCTGCCT